GTTGGATTTTTTTCTCAACTGAGAGGAACCCCTACTTTCCATTTATGTTTATGAATTACGGGTTTGATTATTTCCATGAGGAGCTGATTGAACTTTCCTTAGTTTCTGTTTGGATGTGGAATTTATGAATAAGGAGAAAATTTGGTGGTGTTGCTTTAATAGTATGTATTTAGTTAATTGATGCTTGTCATCCTTAGTCCACCTCTGCTATCATGGCTACTAACTCTGGGGCTTGACTCTTTCCTGGCCCCTTGTAGGAAGAACAACTCCAAATCCTATCTCTATTGCAGCCTTCTGCATGGGTCCTGGGATATGTTTCTGTTCTTAAAGCAAAGCCATTTTGAAGTCTTCAGTGCCTAGTACTGTAATGGATGTGCCACCTTTCTCGTGATCTTTATTGTTGATTCATGAGCTGTCTCTAGGGAGGGAGGGAGGTAAGCACATATCTTAGTCTGCTCTCCTGAATAAAATCATGTTTGTTTGAGACAGGTCTTACTATGTTGATGACCTGATATTTGCTATGTACCCAGAGTGACCTTAAACTTGTGACAATTCTCCTACTTCAGACTTCCAAGTGCTGGGATTGTAGATGTGCACTGGCACATGTATCTCTGAGCCAAATTTTGATCACTGACATATTTTATAGCTCCTGAAACTTGGCCTCAGAGAGAGATTAAATGCTTTGTCAAATAACTATGAGGTGATGGAGCAAAAAAGTAGAATTCTGGCTTTTTTTCAATTTGCTTAATGTTCTTTCCAGTTCTTATAATTCTTTACCACCTGGTGTCCCCTCAGTCTTTGTTAATGGAATTTAATACATCAGAACAGGACTGCTTATAGGCAGAATTTTGTGCATGTATCTTTGCTTGTTAAAGCCAAATAAAATGAAGAACAATGCTTTTGTATTTCAATGACTCTTTCCTAACTCAGTGGCATACCCACATTTATCTCTGGTTTTCATGGAAATAACAACAATAAAAAGATTTTGAAAGTTTTAGTTAAAAACAGTGTAAGAGTACTTTTCCACTGAGACAAGAGCTTTAAAACAAATGGAGGGAGGGAGAAGAGGGTTAAACAGAGGTGGGGTAGGGTGAGAAAAGTACTGTTAATTTTTTCTTTATGACCTGTAAAGATCACATTTATTAGTGCCCAATTTAGTTATACTTTCTGAAACCTAGAAGTATATGGAATGAATAAAGGACACATAAATTCATTTTGTCTACTGTGGCATCAAAGCATATGGTTCCCTTAACCTTATTCACACATATATATGTTCTTCTTTTTGCAACTTTTTAAACATCCATTAATAATTTTGAAAAAGGAAGATGTTGGATTATAGAATCATGGCTGCTATCCATATATGCCTGTTAAACAAAGATTAAAATTTCTCACTTTTTTTCAGATAAATCATAGTATTAGAGAGGAAAATAATTTTATGTTAGGATTTCATATCCATATTCTCTCTCTCTCTCTCTCTCTCTCTCTCTGACACAATCCCACTGTATAGCCCAAGCTCAAATTTGTACTCCTACTGCCTCAGTCTCTCCAGTGCTAGGATTATAGGTGGGTACCATCATGCTTGACTGAGATTCACATAGCCTACCCTTTAAACTAGAGATTGAATCCAGGATCTGTGTATGCTAGGTCAGGACTCTACCACTGAGCTACATTACCAGTCCTTTAAATTTTGAATAAAAAACTTCTTTGATGAGGGGTGAGAGCTACGCTTACCTGTGTGTTTAAAGATAAGTATTTAAAAATTGTATTAGTTTAGGGAAATGACAGTAGCAGGTTCTCCTCTAGGCTCTAAAACCTCTCCAGCCACCAGTATTTGGCTAAGTTTATAGTATTGGTCAAGACTTCCCTCCTATTGAGCTGGACTTGAATAGAATTAGACAAGTGTTGGTTACCTCCAAGATAAAAGTGCCATTATTGCACCATTAGGGATATTTGCTGCTCTGCTAATTGTTGCGGTTTGTGGGCTTTACAGCTGGTTAGGACTATTGATTACTTTTCTCCTTTGGTATCTTGCATAGCACATTCTAATACTATGAGAGCTAGTCTTCAGGGAGGAGGTTTTCTAGGTCAGTTCCAGTTCAATTTCTCCAGGTCCTGTGTCTGAAGTGTTTGGTGTCATCAGCAATAGGGTCTTAACTTCAAGATCTGGGAAGTACCCAAGGGTTGTGGCAATAGCCTATAATTGTTTTGGGGAGTCTGTTGGACTGCACTGTCCAACAACACTAAGAGAGGTAAGAGAGATTTCCTTTGCTTAGCACTGGGATTTTTGTTAGCCTTCAGCTACACACACACACACGCACACACACACACACACACACACACACACACACACATTTTTTAAAAAGTAAGATTTTGGGAGCTGGAGAAATGGCTCAGCAGTTAAGAACATGGGTTGTTCTTGCAGAAGACCCTGGTTCGAATCCCAGCACCCACATGGCAGCTAACAACTGTCTGTAACTCCAGTCCCAGGGGATCCAACAGCCTTTTCTGACCTCTGCGGGCATTGCACAACACGGGTGCACTTACCTCTATGCAGGCAATACATGCATACACATAAAATAAAAATAATAACATTTTTTTTTAAGTTAAAAAAGTAAGATTATGAAATCATATACACCTCTGTTTTTGGATAGTTTTAGTATTATTTATCTCTCCTTCCTCTCTCCCTTATTACAAACCTCCAGAACTGGTCAAAAATGCAAAGAATAAGTGAACATCAGGTGCCTAACCCCAACTGATATATCTACAGTGCAACCCCTACACCTAAGGTTGAGGAAGCATCATAGAAGACTGGCAGAAAGGTTGTAAGAGCCAGAGGGACAGTGCCTGCTGCTTGATACTGTCTTCTAGATGTGACAGGAAACTGTACCCATGAACAATGTGGTTGCCTAAACAAGACCTGCATAATGACAACACCAGTTAACATGCCAGTGTGGATAGGGGAAATTTCACAAGGCCCCACCTGTAGATGAAGAACTATAGGCAATTAATGGCGCCCTAATAGATTATCCAAATCCAACAGATCAGCCCTAAACACATGCACACACAAGTACCATGAAATGAACTTGTAGAATATGTATACATTTACATATGTACACACACATATTTATACACACATATGTAACAAGAATCAAAGAAGAGGTCACAAATTGAGGAGTAGAGGGAAGAGTTGGGGGAGGACAGGAAGGGGTAGAAATGATATAGATACCGTATTCATGTAGGAAATTTTCAGAAAATAAAAAAATTAAGGAGCATAAATTTATTTTGAGTCAGGGTGCTAAGTTGCCAAAATGATCTTGAACTTGTTATCACCTGCCTCAGCCTTCCACATAGCTAGGCATGTGCCACCACATACAGCTATGACATTCTATTTTAATTGGAAAAAAATCTAAGAACAAGAAATAATAGTTCATCCATCCATTCAATGAACAAAATTCTTAAGCATCTCTTAGATGTCTAGACAGTGTCATAAATTTTGAATAAAGGCTTAGCTATGAGAGTAAGCAAATTGTATATGACCCTTTATGAATCATTTAATCTAGTAGAGGAGAAAGACATGAGTCAAATTATAGGAATATATGATAAAATAATTAACACACAGTACTACTGATAACTGGAAGGCAGGGGAAACTCTTCAAGAGGAAAGAAAATTGAGACGTAGTCCGAGATTCAGGAGGGGGTTAGATGAGAAGCACATACTAAGCAGTGAGAACTGAAGGTGTAAGAGCCAACACTGGAGGGCAAGGTGGAGACTGGAGGAGACAGAATTAGAGGAATGAAATCTTGTGAGCTTGGGAAAGACAGGGAGGCAGACCCTTCAGGGGTGGCCAGACTGAACTTATTTTCAGGAAAGCTACTCTGCATATATTGGGAAGTGTGGAGACAGGCTTGAGTCTAGGGTGATATTGTAACTGTCAGGGTCCAGGAATCCTGGCTCTGTAATCTGAAACCCAGTATGCTAATGAGGTATCCTACCCTCTATTCTGTGATAGGATGTTAAGTCTGTTATGCTAATAGGATGCTAAGTCTGTTATGCTAATAAGGTATCTTACTTGCTGTACTGTGATAAGATGCTAAATCTGTTATGCTAATAAGGTATCCTACTTGCTGTGCTGTGATTGGACCACTATCCCTATATAAGCTTGTGCCTTCCTGCAATAAACCAGACCTGTGTCACTGAACCTGGTCTCCTGTGTCTGAATGAGGCTCCACTGACACAGTCTCTCACCAGCCCTGGGGTCTGGGACTGGGCAGAAGCAGCGATGACAGGAGGCAGCACAGGGCAGGCAGAAGAGTGGCCTCAGCCCAGGGCGAGTGGAGAAGCAGCCTCAACGCCTGTGAGAACGAAGTAGCGGCACTCACGAGAATGGAGGAGCAGCCGCTGCTGGCGGTGACTGCAGGGAAGCACAAACTGGAGATCGGCAAAAGAGGCCACAAGAGGTCAGGTGTTGGGCCATGGTAGTAGCCATGGATACTAAAATATACTTCCTGTTGCTGTGATAAAACACTGTGACCAAGGGAACTTACAGGAAAGTTCCAGGTTTCAGAGGCATTAGAGTCTGTCATGGTGGGGAGGCATGGTAAGGTGGCTGGAGCAGGAGCAGAAATCTAAGCTCACATCTTCAAGCAGGCACAGGAAGCAGAAAGTGACTAAAAATCTGGCAAGGCTTAAGAACTTTCTAAGCTCACCCCCAGTGACATACTTCCTCCAGCATGGCCACTCCTTGTAAGACCTCCCAAAACAGCACCGCTGACAGTCAAAAGCATGGCAATAGAGATAAAGGAAAATGGAAAAATTTAAGGGATGTTGAGGGAATAGAATTTCCAGGATAGGTTGTACATTAAACATGGGAATGAGAAAGAAAGCATTAAAGATAGCTGGTCTCTCCCAGATGGCTGCATGCCAGAGGAAACACCTAGTTTTGTAAATGTGGTACTTGAGGTAGATGGGTGCTATCACAACAGTTAAGAATGAAGATGGAGTGCTTGCTTTGGCAGCATATATACTAAAGTTGGAATGATACAGAGAAGATTATCATGACCCTTGTGCAAGGATGACCCACAAATTTGTAAGTGTTCCATATTTTTGACAAATCTGGATGTAGGTACTGCTGTTGTTTCAGGCACTACAGATGATTTGTGGTTTTTGAGTGAGTCAGTATCAGAGCAATTAGGTATTGGGATAGAAGTTGAAGTTGCTGATAATGGACAAGCAAATGAAGAAGTAAGAAAGTGAGTTACAGAAAGGACTGAAATGGGGAAAGATGATGAGCCTGAGAAGTGATGATCTGGATGTGGAAGACACCTCTGAGGATGAGTGGCAGTATACTTGAAGGAACTGATGTCTCTGATTGTTGGAGAACCATTTCAGCTCCAGTTGTTAGACCTAAAGATGTCTATATACAGGAGGAACATTCCAAATTTTTTAACCCTTGCAACTCAGTGGAATTCTTGGATTTGGCTCACAGTTCTGAAAGTCAGGAAGACCATTTCAAGCGTGGGAGAACAATCAGAAATCTTTTATGAGCGGAAAACAGATAAGAAAATATGGATGATTGTCAGAATATCTTGAAGCTGTATAGCTTATGTGAGGAAAAACCTCGACATGGGAACATTATTCATGGGAAGATGAGCCATCTCACTACCTGTTTGTGCTGTGCCAGAAGACTAAAGAAGGCTGGGGCTTCGTGTCCTAGTGTAAGAAATGGATTCTGTTGGTTATTAAAGTTTTTATAGTATAAAAGAAAAATGAAAGTGGTGACAAGAAATAACCTTACAAATTCAGAAGATACTTGTTTGGACAAAAAGACTGAACAGCGAGCAAGCTGTCACATGAGGAATATCCCTTGGTGGAGTGCTTAGTTTTCACTCTTATCTCTGAATATCCCCTTGTGTTCCACTGTGTCATGAAGACCATGAAATAATACACCTGAAATGGTCAATTCATTCTCAGGTTCTTTTTTTTTTCCTTATGCTTCTTCCTCAAATTAACTCATTTTTTTTATTTGTTAATTTCTTTGTCCGTATTTCATACAGAACATCCTGAACAATCTTATTCATCTATATACCCACATCCCAAATGGCCCCCTCCCATAGTCTCCCTGCCCCATTGGAGCCAATATACTCTGTCATCCCTGTCACTGTCCACTGTGTTGTCAGTGTCCCCAGCTGTTCTCCAGTGCTTGTCCATCTGATGAATCTAGTCAGCCTATCTAGAGTTCTTTGTTTCAGGAAGATCAGCTCTTTCTCATCTAGCAGCAATCAGTTGTCAATATTCCTTTAGGTAAGATTGGGGTCTGCTGTTCATTTTCCCAGTTCTATGCTGGGTTACTGTCTGGGAGTCTCTTCAACCACCCTGTCCAACAACTCAAAGGAAGGTATCTCCTGTCTGGGATTGTTTCTTTCCTTTTGGGTGTTTAAGGCAATACAGTTGGCCCAGATAAATCAATTTATTTTACTTTTTTTTTTTTTGGTCTTTTTGAGACAGGGTCTCCCTTTAGCCCCAGCTGTCCTGGAACTCACTATGTAGACCAGGCTGGCCTTAAACTCACAGAGATCTACCTGCCTCTGCCTCCCAAGTGCTGGGACTAAAGGCGTGCACCACCACACCCAGCCTTATTTTTACTTTTAAGGTTGTTTGAGGATCTGTTCCTCAGGGGTCACATGGGCTTGGGAGGAGCCTCTGGCTCCTTCTACCAGTTCCATCTATGTGAAGATAAGTCAATTTAATGAGATAAAGGTTACAATTAACTATTTCCAAATATCATGTCTCCAATTCAACACTTTTTAGCACTGCTTCTAAAAAATAAAAGTATTTCATTGAAAAACTTTGTATAGGTTGGAGAGTTTGGAAAGGGAATGAATGCCAAACTCATGTTACAGCAACAATGAGAAATTTCACAGTATTGTTGAAACTTGTAATACAGCTTTGCCAGTAAATAATACTAAGAAATTATAGTCAACATATAGAATGGCAAATTTACATTCTAAAATACAATCATGTATTTTTCGTTTGTGATTTTATATCAATTTAGGTATTAAAGTTATTAAAGTATTCTCTAAAATTTATAACTTCCCAGTCTGTGATTTTTATCTCTAGAAGTTCAATTTTGTGTTCTACATTTTCTGTAGGGTGCAGGTGAAGGCACACTTGGGCTGTAGAAGAGTAATAGAAAGGTGATGGAAAACCTCTTGGTCCTGTGAATGGGAAAGGTTCAAAGTCAAGGGCTGGATGCCCAGAACCATGTGTGGAGTCAAGACTATAGCTGGCCTTGGAGGGAGGCGGGAAGTACATTCTAGAAAATCAGTCTTCCCAAGACTAGAATCTGAAAATGATAGAAACCCCCTTTGTCCCCAGGATAAGCCCAACAAGAGGTAAAGCCATTGCCATGCACAACCTGAGACCTTGGGGGAGGGGGTTGTAGGGAATACAGCCACTCAGAGAAGGCTGAAAGTGCTGCCCAACATCAGGAAGTCCTTTATTCTCCAATTTGCCCCACCATCAGCCCAGCACCAGAGAAATATGGAACCAAAATTCATGGTTAGGGACTACAGCTCCAGGTTCATGGAAGGGGACCACAGTTCCAGCTGATAGGAAGGGATCTCAGCTTCAGGTTCACAAGAAGGGATCACAACTCCAGTACACAGGAGGAGACCACAGGCCCAGGCTCATGGGAGGAATCTACAGCTCCAGGCTCATGGAACCACAGCTCCAAGTTCATGAGTGACAACCAGAACTTCAGATTCACAGGAGGGAACCATAGCCTCAGGCCACGGGAGGCAACCACAGTTCCAGGGAGGGTCACAATTTCAATTTTTCTGGTTCTTATTAATTTCCTGTCTTCATCACTGTGTCCACATGGTTATACTTGTGTTTAAGAAGAACATTTTTGTCTTCTGTGTAGGAAACGTGTTTGCTGGCTTGAATTTCTAGCTAGGAGGATAACAATATTAGAGAAAACCACTTTTCCTTTTGCTCAAGGAGACATATCTAGCTCCTCTTCTTCACCATCAAGGATCTGGTTGGCTTTTTTGGTGTCTGCTTGTTTTACAACTTACTCCATGGCCTGGGGGAGCCAGTGATGAGATATCTTACCAGAGTCATGTTTTGCCAAGAACCACTGTGCCTACCTTATTTCTCTGGCACCATCTTTCCCCAGTTATTTTGTTCCTTACTTGCCAAGTCCTTTTACCTGTACTTGATGATTGGCCTTTATCCTTCTTGGGGTTGGTTACCTGGGTGATAAAGGTTGGCCCATCTATGAGTGTGCTGTTTGTGGCTAACCACAGGCCTAGTCTTCAGCTAGCCAGTTGCTGGGGATGCAGTACAGTAGAATGCTTGTAGCTCCCAGCCTGGGTACGTCAGCTGCCCAGCCCCAAGCTCCCAGATGGGTGGCCATGGCCCATGACCCAGCTTCTGATGCTGCTGCCTTGTCACCACGAACCCCAGAGCCATGCCTGAGAGAGCCATGCATTGGGAGACAGAACAGGAGGCCCAATGTTGGACAAAGCAGAAGCAGGCAGACCTAGTGTTTTCTTTTTCCTGGTCAAGGATCAGTTTTCTTACCCAGTGTCCTTAGTCTCCACATCCCACTCCCAGTAGTCAGGGGAAACAAGTGATGAGACATCCTCTCACTGGAGTCACACATTAAGTCCATGCCAAGCTACACTGATGCTCGGGCACCCACAGGTGTGTCACCGCCATCTTGACTCCTCAGTCACTCTCTTACTTGCTGAGGTAAGATTCCCTGGTGACCACAGACAGGGCCAGCATCAGCCACTCAGGAGAGCCTGGCAGGGATGCTGGGCCTCAGGTTCTTTCTGGTCACTGTTTGGTGCTCAATATAGTGTATTTAAAAAATTTTTTTAATAACTACATGATTAGAAGAAGCATTTCATTATAGCTTTAACATATTCAGTAGCACACTCCAGAGCAAGAGTACATCTCTTTCACAAGTGCCTGTAAGTTTCTAGGTTCACAGATGAATTAATAGTTATACAATATTGAACTCAGTATAAGCCCTGAAAGACATAAAATTGAATGAGTTTTTAATATAGAGTATTTTTTTGTTTTTGGTCTTTTTGAGACAGGGTCTCCCTGTAGCCCCAGCTGTCCTGGAGCTCACTATGTAGACCAGGCTGGCCTTGAACTCACAGAATATTTTTAAAGCATTTAATTTACTTACTCATCTACCCCAGAAGTCACCAGTTCTATTTTATTGCCCCACAAATGGCCGGTTGGCCTACCAGTCTTGGGTAGCACAAATGACCAGTTGGCCTACCAGTCTTGGGTAGCATAGATAACAGTTTGATACTTGTGAAAAGAAGGGCCTATTTGGAAGGCAGCTTGAAGATTATAGGACTAGGACGGGAACATGTGGGGGATGTTACTATATTTCTTCAGCTTAGAGATTTCTAGTTGGAATTGTATCCAAAGAACAAGGTGAGTGGGCACAAGCTGTAAAACATACACGGCCATCACCCAAGACATATTCCTATTTCTTTATTCTTAATAGCAACATGTATTGGCAATTAAAAGAGTATGATTCTACAGAAATCATACTGGAAATACTTTCTGCCACTTCATCAGAGCACATCATTACTGCTCTAAGGCCCCAGGAGAAAGGCACAGACAGAGGAGTCAGAAAAAATAGGTCTAAATCCTTGTTCTTAACTTAGGAGCGTGGTCCTGGGTAAGCGATTTCATATTTTTGTTTCATATTTGTCATCCAAAAGCAAGAGGTAATTGAATCTATCTTTAGCTATGTATTGATGACTCATGAAGCTATATTTCTTTCCAGATTTCTCTCCTGTGCTTCCTGCATTTTTGTTCACTTGCTTCCTGGACACTCTCTGCCTAAGTGTTTCATAGGCAACGCAAACTCAATTTGTCCAAAACCAAACTCATTTCTATCCCCAGTCTGAACAAAAAATCTTCCTATAGCATTCCTAGATTGGTAAGTAGGTCCCTCATGCAGCCATGTATCCGAAGTGTGGGCGGCATCCCTGTCTTCACCTTCAGGCCACTTACCCCTGTCTTCAGTTAATTGTCATATCAATGCTACCTGTCTCTCCATCCCCCTCCCCTT